CTTGGCTCTTGCGTGTACTAGTGCTAATTCATCACCGTTTCTTACAAAGGCAAATGGTGACAGTAAAATACGAGAAAAGGTGGCGGCTCTTGTAGCGAGCGCTTCAACTATGGGCGAAAACAAAATCAAAGCTGAAATACATAAGCAACGCCAAGAAGACATGCAAATTCTTGCAAAGCGTTTCAACAAACAAAAAGAAGTTTTCAGAAAAGATGAGGAGCACATTGTGCAGCCTGTACAAATGAAAACTCCTGACACAAAACAGACAACAAAATTTAAACATCCACCCACACCGCCGCCTCCTCCCCCCATGCCCAATACATCTTCGAATGCGACGAATAAGCGGCATTCCCGTTAGTAGAGTCAATGATTTATATAAGCAAAAGTCCACTGTTGTCTTTTTCTTTCTTATTTCAGCTGGCGATGCCACTTGCGATGATGAAAGCAAGCGAGCACGTAAATCAGGTGAAAATATAACTCAAACAACTCGGCTTTATCCCGCACTGTCAGATTTGGAATCTGAGTCTGATCGGGACAATGGTGGGACCACAGCTACTGTGTCCGAGCATGGCAGCGCGGGTGAAAATATGCGCATGTTGACAGCAGCTCCTGAAACGGACAATGCAGAAAGTTATAATGACGAAGGAAGGTGGGAGGAGCGTTTTTATTCTTGTTTGTTATGCTTGCTGTGCATTGAATAGGCAAAAAAATCAGCGTTTTCTTTCAAATTGTCGTATTATCATCTAAACATAATTTAGTTTAATTCTCATTTGAGACTGATTCATTCTAACACTATTCTTAACATCATGCACATATCTATTTAATTCAATAAATTATAGTTTGAAAGAAATCATACATTCCTTCGTTTTTAACTATGATCAAATTATTATTTATAGTTTTATGGAATCGGAGGATGCAGACGACAGCAGTATAGACATTTGCAATGGTAGTTTGGGTCGAGTAATAATGCAAGTGGTACAACAGAATGACCATCAACAGCAGCAACACCAGTCAACGAAGCAACGAAAGGTGCGTAAGTTTAACGTTATAAGTAAGAAGCTATGAGTATACGTACGAAGATTTTCTATGCACTAACTTACAATTTAATTAAAATAGGAAGTACACTATGCTGACAATAATGATTATTATGGTTGCGCTGATAGCTCAATGAATTCTTCCGATGCTTCAATGGGTGTTGATGATTACCTGGATGAAGCTTTAGAAGACGGCAATGATTCTTGCGCGCAGGAAAGCGGCGTTAACGCGGACGACGGTGATGGTATAAATCCACCGAGAGAAGTATAAAACAAAAACTTATTTTTGTTTATTATTATTAATATTTTATAATTTTACAGAGCAAAGGTACAGCGGCCTCAAATAGCTTTTCCTTCCATAAAACCCCCAAAAAATACACCAATTGTCAAAGTATATCAGAAGAAAATGAGGAATTGCCTACGTCTACAGCTGGCTGCACCCCACATCCAGTGAAATCTGAGCTGAGTATTAATCGTGACAACGATGATAAAATGGTCACTTTGGTTCATACGGTCAGCTTTTATAGACGCCAGCAAAGCGACAATGTAAATATTTATACTTTTAATGTTGAATAAAGCAGTTGCTTTTAAGTTATTACATAAATTCCTATTGTTCTTTTTCAAGAGTGCCAGTTCGACGCCCGTGCGTAAGGTATGTCGCGAGCAGCAAGTACTACGATCTGATATCGGTAATGCAACGCGTGCAGCAATGCAATTTGATTCTCCTAAACAGCAAGAGATTAACTTTCAAAAGAGCAAACACGATGAAACATACGTTGTGGAAGAAGGGGAAGAGGAAGAAGGCAGTCCATTCGAGGAATCGGATGCAGATGATGATAATGTAGTGCAAGAAAAAATTAAAAAACTTTTGGATGAAGTCTGCAAGCAACAGACCGTAATTGCTCAGACAAGTCAAGCACTGAATTTGTGTGCAGCTACGGTAGAATTCTCCGGTTCAACAGAGTCAGTTGAGGGCGAGCGCCATCTGCTGGTAGCAAGTAAGATGAAATAGATTTCATTAAATCGAAATATCAAAAACTTATAAATAATTATACGTTATAGCACACCGACGGCAGGCATGCTTAGATGAAGTACAACGCTTGCGAGTAGAGAAATGCTTGAGGCCGGTTGGTGCATTGCGCGATAATGGACGACTCACAGTCAAGGAGATAACCATACCATTACGTCAGGATTATATTCGAAAACTCGCTGCGGATACCATATCCGGCCATCATTTGGTTTGTTTGCTCAAATACAATGAACACGTTTTGGCAACGAAGTCGGTGCCCACACTTCCAGGTCTGCTAGCAGTGAAATTTCCTGATGTATTGCAAATGAATAACGTGTATGCTGATTTCAGGGTAAGTTCAGTTATTAACTTTTTATTTGTTTTCCATTTATTCTTTAAATTCATATTACCTTTATATTCATCTCTGCGGTGTACTACATTTGATAAGTTTATCTGGTGCATTCGGTTAAATAAGCTGCTTCAAGGGCAACTTTATTTTTCGTAGATTTTTGCCATCAACCCCAGCTGGCAATAGTTGTACTCATGAGAAAGTATCGTAGGCAGGCTTTGGAACTGGGACTAAAATCTCCCAGATATGATACCTGTGAGTACGCCCACTGCAGTTATTTAAGTTGTAATATCAAGCGGTCATTTCTTCCAAAGGTCGTTATTGTTGTTTTATTACATCCACAGTGGAAGAGATTGTTTAACGATAAACTTACAGATGTCCTTGCCGCTTGCATCCATGCGAACATGCGATTCATGGCTTCCAAAATTTGTTCTCGAATTTGTGGGAATTTTCTCTCCATTGCAAAGCTTTTTTATTTGTTTTGAGCTCAGTCTTCTCAGCAAGATTCTGAAGTCGCATACATGAGCATAAGCGGAGTAAAACCAGTGAAATTATTTTTATAGATCTGTTTTATAGAGAATGTTAATATTTCTGACTTTACCGTTACGTCCAGCTAACTATATAATATCTACATACAATTTTTGTAGAACTTTCTTGAATGAACTTTAGTTTCTCAATTACTTTTACGATTCCTTTGAGAAATGAAAAATCTAAAGTACTCCTGCCATTCCATTACTTATTACATTTTCAATTCCTCTTAAAGGAGTTGAAAAAAATTACACTATCAGCACATACATAATTAATTCCAATTACAAAATACAATTCCCTTAAAAAAAAATACTTTTGAAATTACATATTTCTAATAATGACTACACAGTGTGCAACCGTTTAGGCAACGTGTTTAGGCAACCTGATTTTCTTGTTCAAAATACAAGAGGCAACCATTACGGCAACCTCAGTAGTATGTGTTCTGTTCTGAAATGAACGTGCAGAAAAAAAATTTTGTTTTCTACAAAAACCCCTTTTCAGGTAACTTGTTTTCAACGAACTAAGCCAATCAAATCAGGACACCACGGGGCAACCGACTCGGCAACCAACACAAAATATCAAAATTATAGGGTAATTCATCTAAACGCCCGAATGCCTCGTAACCATGTTAACCATGTAAACCTCGTAAACTTACTTAATTTTGTATAGAAAATCGGTTTATTTATGAGGTTTACGCGGTTACAAGGTATTTACGCGTTTCCATGTATACCAATAATTTGATTTTCGGGCGCAGGTTGCGGAATCACGAATTTCAATGAACAACAATGCCACATACGAGGCAACGGGCGAAGCAATATGCATTGGTTGCTTCAATGGTTGCCTCGTTTGTAGTCAGCATAAGGAATTTGAAAAAGAAAACAAATTCCTTTAGTGGGGACTGAAGGAATTCATTACCAATTGCAATTTCTGAGAAACGTAATTGAATAACGGACAACAGTTAAAAATTTACACTGATGCGTCAAACGCTGACAATCCTTAAACAACTTATTAAATTTTAAAAGAAACATATGAATCTCTGACTAAACTAGAAACTTCCTCGTCATTTAATCAATTTTTTAAGCGGTCACCCCTGACACGCTATGGCAAACGTCAGAGTGTACAACTCACAGAAAATTTAGGTAGATTTTTTTGCATAAATCAATTCGCAGGAATTATCCCAATTATTGCAGTTATTTTTCTGCATGATTATAGCCTCTAACTAAAAAACTACTGATATACCAGTTTTTGTATTAATTGTGTCGAATCTGTACGACCCCAAGCAGTTATATTTTTGGACCTGCTTTTTGAATTGTACCTCTTTTGAAACCATTTGCCTTTCGGATGTGGTCTCAAATTCTAGCTCCCTTCATTTGTGTTAGAGCCAGATCACAAATTGAAATAAAAGCTCGACCAAATACTCATGTTTTTAGATGTCCTGAGAATGAAAGGTAACTAAATAAATAAAAGTTACTCTTTAATACAATTAAAATTAGAAAAAAACATACTTTATCTTTGCAAAAGAGGTGCTATGTGAATAGTTTGAATAAATGTAAAAAAGTAATAAATAGTTCATTTAGGGAAAGGTCTAAAATAAAGGTCGATAATTTTAAACTTCTAACACCAAAGTTTAAATTTAAAGAGTTCTTTGTGTTGTCGTGTCACATTGTTAATAAACAATTTTAGGAACGAGATAATTTACTTACCCAAATATCTTGTTGCTCTTTTACTTTACCTCTAGATTACACTCGAGATTTATGGCATGACCGCCCAGCGTGAAGTTTTGCCACACGAGGTGAAATATCATATAAATCTTAATAAAAAATCTGGTATCAAAACGCCTAAAAAGAAAGGCAGTGAAAACCGTTTAGTTATGCCTCCTGTACAAAGTCCAGCTGGGCCGAATGTCGTGCGTACTCCTGCCTTAGTGCAGTATGGCTTTGCTATATTTTCCTTACGCGAGATACAACGCACATCTTGGACACTAACACAGGTATATTTTATTCAATCATCTACTATTCGAAGTAATTTACTTTTCTTGCTTTGTTGACACAGGTTCTCGGTGTTAGCCCTCTAGAAGGCGTAGTGCATATGAAAGCGAACTGTGAATTATCGGTTTTGGTCGAACATCGCGGCTTTCTAACCATGTTCGAAGACATTTCTGGATTTGGTGCCTGGCATCGTCGCTGGTGCTATTTGAATGGAAGCGTACTTAATTATTGGAAGTATCCCGATGATGAGCGCAAAAAGACGCCTATCGGCTCGATTGATCTGTACGCTTGTCGCACGCAGAAAGTAACTGTTGCACCACGTGATATATGCGCACGCCTTAACACTATGTTGCTTGAGTTCGAGAGACCGGCGAGAGAGAATGATGAGGAGTCGCTAATTATCATTCCAAATGGGCGGACTACAATCGTGCGATACCTTCTTTCAGCTGATACGAAAGAGGAACGGGAACTATGGTGTGCGTATTTCAATAAAGTTTTACTCTTGCTGCGAGCTTGGGGATCACCACAATAACTAATGAGTTTCGGAAACTTGAAAAGAAAACAGCTCTTTCGGTTAGGTGTTTCGGGGAAAAATGAGAGATACCTACATACATATGTATGTATATAGGTATTTTTCAGCTTCATCTTTCATCTTTCATTATACCATTCAACATATCATTTTGTTTTTGAGAAAACACCTGTTTCTAATTTCCACGGTAATAATGCATTATAAAACGTGCTGCCAAAGTCGTATTATACAAAAAGAGTGTGTCTCAACAGCATTCACATTACAATTTCACAGTTGGCATCCCGACACTTCGAAAATTACATATATTTACCAAATAATCATATAATTTTAATGTAACTATTGGTTCAAGCAATCAACATCATACGCTACTATGGCTATGGCTTCAAAGAAATTAATTTTGTTCGTGGCATTAAAATAATGAATGCATTTCGGTTTGTAACTATTTGAAACTTGTAAAAAAAAAATTTTTAGTACATACGTATGTATGTATTTATTCGTTATTCATATATGTATGAAGTGAATACTTCTCCTTGGAAGCGAGAGCTCGTTGAACATTTATTATTAGTATTATCTTTTAGCTATAGTAAGGTGTTTTCATATACATAAGTATGTATTGTATTAATGCATTGCTCGTAAATGTATATACACAATTTTAATTGCCTATATTTGTATTTTGCTAAAATTTCACAAGTTAATGTTTATTTATAAAAACGAAAAAAAAAATTCTATCTATTGGTTTTTTTTTTGGCTTTGGGTTTTGTTGGGAGTTCACAATACGCCAGGTTGTTCCTCCGTTCTTTAGTTAACTATCCCGGATTGTAGGGTTGTCAATAGCGCCGCCCACAAAATCGGTATCTTCTATTGATTCGCTTTTGTATCTGTTTGACTGCCTTTAGCTTGTTGAAAACGATTGCATTTTTTTTAAATGCATTATATTTGTATATATAGCTTTTTTCCCGGTGAAGAACGAGGTGGTCGGTATTGTACAATGGATAAACTTTACTTTCCTTTAATTTAGAATTTAACCTACGTTTTTTTTAAGGAAATTGGATAATTGATTAATTTTGTCATAATCCCAATCGCGAAGTATGTCGAAAAAGTTTGCGTTATTTCGAAAGATTGTGAAGCCACCCCGAATGCAGCTTACTCAACTAACGGAAGACCCAAGAAGCGTGCAGCCTCTATAGGGTCTGTCCATAGGGACAGAGGCGTCAGTTGCGTGGGGGTTTCCAGGCATACGAAGAGATGTTTCGAGTCGTGGGGTGTCTCTCCGCATGCCGGACACTCTTTTAGCACATCTGCATCTTATCTGCCCAGGTATGAGTTCAACCGGCTGCAGTAGCCAGAGCGTCATATGTATGCCCCGTGAGTAGTCTATTTATTGTTTTTGTTTCCCTTGGATCTAGAATGTTTGCATAGAACCAAGGCTTTTTTGGTTTCGTTGTGAAAATTTGGGCAACAAGATTGGGTTTGGTGGCCGGGAAAGTGAGGAACTCGTCACACCGTTTATTAGACTGTCCGAAAAATTGCATCTTTAGTATATCGTAGTCCTTTGGCTTATTGTAGGGCTTTCAAAAAAAAAAGGCTATGATTTCTCCTTAATGGAGGAGGAATTGAAGTGGAGTTTAAAGTCATGTTCAGAATTGTCATGGGCGTTGAAGATTGTAATCCGTGAAGCTGCTGCCCGAAGATGCATCACTGAACAGGATTTGGAAATTCGACACTCTAAAGTCCTGTATTAGGGTGGTATTATTACTTGCGAAGCGAATGGTTTGGCGAACGCAACTAAAAAATGCGTTAACAGGCCTATTCTGCATTGGTAACAAAAATTTTGTTACCGGTAAATTTTTAAACCGTTTTCGAATTCTGCGCACTGGTAAATTTTGTTACCATTTCATAAGGAGGTAACAAAATATTGCCCCGTGAAATATGCAACACCAGAAACAAGTTTTTCCAAGCACTCAAGCAGTACTTAAGGCCAAGATACAGAATTTAGAGGAAATGGATATGTTGGTGGGGGTGGGAATTCATTGCTCCACTGCAAACTTACTAGACACCTTTATGAGATTTAGCAGTTTTTAAGGTAAAGAGAATCAGACCCAAAAATGTACCAACTGAGTCTGGCGAAGGCCGGACGGCGGTTGAGAAAATGTTCTGCATTATCCTCGTCCTCCAAACACTATGTACACAGTGGATCGTCAATGATGGCTATGGTGACCATATGTCGTCCCCATGGATTGTGCCCCATAATCAGTCTTATCCGGGCTAGTAGATCACTGCTTTGTCTGAGAAGAAATTTAGCTACCACCTTGTCAGGCCTTATCAGGAAATACTTGGTTATATTGCAGGTGTCAAATGTGCACCAACGCCTCATGAGTTTTGTTTACGAGATCATTGATGCACCCGATCGTTTCCGCTATGCTTGACCCTAAAATTGGCTCTGGTCCAATTGGGCGCTCTAGAGAACCGCAGTTCGCCAAATCATCAGCCAGTTCATTACCTTGAACACCGTAGTGTCCTGATACCCACACAAGTTCTAGATTATTCCATCTTGTAATGGAGTTCAGCCCCAACTTACATTCCTGGACTAACTCTAAAGAGGTGCGAGCGGTTTCCAGGGCCTTTAGAGCAGCTCGGCTGTCCCTGCAGATCCTATTTTTTGTATGCGCCACCTTTCGCCAATTATCAAGTCCGCCACTTTCATTATTGCAAAGACTTCCGATTGAAAGGCCATTGCCATTGCACCCAAAGCGCTAAAGCATCTGAAGTTACCATCCAGATGCCATCCAGTTTGTCATTTGGTGGCAAAAACAAATGATTTTGCTCTGACAAACTTCTGAACAACTCTGACAACAAAAAATTGCAGTCGACACATTGTTTTCATTGCCTCCTCTTGGATCGCTAAATCAATAGGCGGAAAATTAAACAGCGCATTAAGTGCCGGTCCTGATGTTGTACTCATGGCGCCCGTAATGTCTATAAACACGTTTCTTTGTAGCCTGTTTAACACAGAAACCGCGGTTTCGACCGTGGTTCTACGCCACCATACTGCAGCAGAGTACGTGACGATCGGCCTGACTCGAGCTATGTATATCCAAAATACCATAGCCGCTCTCAGACCCCAGGTCTTGCTAAGAGTTCTTCCACACTGTCCGAAAACGTTCAGCGCTCGATTTACCTTCAGCTCGACGTGAGTTTTCCATGTCAGTTTCGCATCTAGAGTTACCCCTAGATATTTTATATCCATGGTAAGACTTAGGTTTACGTCTCTAAGCAGTGGAAGGTTGAGACCTTCCAATTTTCTTTTCCGCATAAACAAGACTAGGGTGGTCTTGCTGGAATTGACAGCAATTGCGTTGTCAGACACACTTGTTGCTCCCAATGCTGGAAGTCCTTCCAAGTGGACCACCTTCATCTTGGTTATCGGTCTTCCAACCAACTGTCGGCCCCCAATTTATATTTTGGTCACTGTAAATCTGTATATACCTATGTACAAATTAGTTGTGCATGTGTACATACAATTATTTAATACTCACCACTGCAATTCCTTTTTGCGCGTAAGGACCTTAAAAAATATGTATTTCTACTTGATGAATTGGTTGGGTAGTTCGTACCCGTTTATTGTTCGATTAAATATTGTACATTTCATATTGTTTCATCTGTTCAAATACAAATAGCAATTGCTTGGCAACTTATTGAACAGGGGGCCCGTTTCGAAATGTTTTTGAAGAAAACATATATATATATATATATATGTATGTATGTATATGTATCTAGTAAGTATGTATGATTTATGTGTAAGAATGCTTGTGTATATACTTCTCCTTATATACCTACATATAGTGCTAAAACACTGTGGCAACAACAATAGTCTGAGTTCATTATTTATGTACATATATTTATATCTTTATGCATCTCAGTATATGTATGTATGTATGTTCACATTTTTTTCGGAATACATTCTAGTTTTTGTATGTTTTTTCTGATAAAATATATTTTTCAGATTTTTTTTTTTGCTTTACTTAAAACTAATTTAACAACTTGCACTTCTAATTTCTAACTTATAAATATAAATATGTTCTTAATTTCTTTTTACTAATCTATTTACATGCTTACTTTTATACAAAACTATACATAAAAATTGTTCATTAATACATCTTCCGCAAAGCAAATTAAATGCTGGTAGGCAATTTGCCGTCGTCCATCCATCGTCGGATGAATTCAATAATTCAAGCTAACATATTAACACCTTTATTCTATAACCCGAATTTTCGTAATTCGTAGCTATGTACGTTACGAAAAACGACAAACCGACATGCTGCAACCCTTGCGGAAACCTGTGTAGCCATTGCCAGCTATCAGTTCCCTACAAGAACAGTGATAGCCATTTGATGGAGATCTCAATCAAGTACTTCTATCAACTTTTTAAGAGCAATATGAAAAACGTGATGTAAACATTTGTGTACATGTGATCGACCTTCCGTCTTCCCCCAACTTATGACCTCTTTTTAACCAACACAAAATTTGCAAATGTGTTAGTAAGATAAATGAGAATGTGTTAGTTTCGATCACAAAATTCCTATAGGGTTGTCTTTCAAAGACAGCTGTATGAAGGAAAACAACGTGGAAAGGAATTTAAAAAACACTCATCAAGTGCTTATTTATCCTAAAATTTTTTGATTTTACATATTTTGAAGGAAACGATGGATTCTATTTCATTTGCAATTATAGCAGCGGAGTAAGAGCGCGCTATGGAAATGAATTCATAAAGATATGCGGAGCTGTTGGGCATAGTAACCATGGACGCATCTACATATGTATGTATGTCAACTTCTGGTTGAATTGTTGAACTCCAAGCCATAACTTCTCCTATGCCGGAATAACTGGTTCTCAATTCAGTTAATGCAATAACAGCTTCCGAAAGTTCGAAAATACGATTCGGATTGCAGCATACGATTTCTACGATTCGTACCAAAATCCGAATACGTAAACGGTGCAGAATAGAGGTGCAAATATGTATCTAGTTAATCCATAAATATTTATTACCACTTGAGCTAATATTTTTGAGCTCAGATTTTGCTTAAGCGCTGCAATCATCAAATAACTAAAACGCGTTGTTAATTCATAAAAACGGGGAAAAGATAAAACTTTAAAGCTGCTATGAAATAGTTTCAAATACTAAACATACATTCGATCATTGCACTGCTTAAACAAAATCAATCCGTTCCTATGGATTGATGCCGTCCAACTTCCCAGATGTGATGACAGAAACATCTGAGGACTCTACAGGTGGCATGGCATCCCGATTCGCCTTTTGCCTGCGCAGATCTGGCTTAATTAGCGCCGTGATCAGCGTGCCCAGCACCAGCATAATTGACATGATCACATCGGCTGGTATATCTCCATAGGTGTAGAATACTTCGGAATACAGGGATGTGAATCCAATACCAAAAATTTGCGCGGCTGCGTTGAGCAGACCCGAGGAGGTTCCCTCCGGTTCCGGATATGTCAGTTCGGCGGCGAATTCAAAGCCTACTGGCAAATACCCCGTCATAAAGAAACTGTAAAAAATACAGAATTATGTGCATATGTATATGAATACATAAATTACATACTTTGAATCGGTATATTGTAATCTGAGTTCATCGGCGTAGCCAGAATGAAATTAAGGGGGGGAGGGGGGGGCTCGACTCTATTAAGCTGGCATTTGAGGGTACTATTTTATATATATATAAGGAAAATTTTAAAGTAAGGGGGTGGGGGGGCTCGAGCACCCCCTGCCCCTACCTGGCTACGCCCATGTCTGAGTTGCTAATCTAAAAATAAATTAAATTTAGCTTTAAATAATACTGCTAGATTCATATAATGTAAAATACAGTTTGACCACATTTCGCCGTACACTAAAAATATTCTCCGTTTCAGGTTTGAAAATCACCTAAAAGTCCGAAATATTTTTTTTTTTTTTTTTTTTCAAAATAATTAGATATCGCAAACCAGTCTACCTTTTTAGAAAACTAACCTTTGTTCAATTATTATAGTCTGAAAATATAAAACATTAACAGCCTCCAGACTGTTCTTTTTTAATGCCATCAGACTACGGAACTCGCTACCAATATCTATTAAAACCATGAAATCAGATATACGTTTCAAAACGGCAAGTAAAGCACAGTTCACTCCAAATCGGTACGCATGAAATGGATAACCCATTCTAACAGGTTTTCAGAAAATAATATCTATGGCTATGTATATAAGGTGACCCGGATTTTTTAACACTCAATGAGGACAAACTCTCCACATTTTTTTACAGTTACAAATTTTTTACATTTATTTTAAAACATAAATAACGAATAAATTAACAATTCAATGTTTCTCTAAACACAATTCAAAAAAGTTAATAGTACACTGCGTTGCATAATTATAATACCGCCACATATTAACAAGTTTTCACTATTCATTTTTAACCGACTTCAAAAAGAAGAAGGTTATCAATTCGTCGGAATATATTTTTTTATGTATCTTACCGCATAACTTTCGACCACGTTCACCGATTTCGATAATTATTTTTCTATCGGAAAGGTGGTGTCTCACAGGTAGTCCCATACTAATTTGGTTTAGATCGGTTGTGTTTTTTACTTAAAAATTAGTTGTTAAATTATTCAATTGTAATTGTATTACTTGCCAAAGAATTGTTTCGTTGTTCGTCTTTCGTCAAAGTTCGATTATAATTTTTTGTCAACGCTATACCTCGTTCAGCAATATCATTAAGATATTTAATTGTCTCTAAGACAACCAACTTAACGGTTCAAAAGTTATAACATGTTTAATGAAAATAAATTTTTTTACATGTTATTTACATAGAAAATTTCAAATGCCCATCGACAGCTTTTAAAATTTATTCAAAAACTTTTCCAAATGGGAGAGTTTCCTTCTCAGTAAATGAGTCATTTTAAGGCCATTAATTCGCCAGGTTAGTTATTTTGGATCGCACGAATATATAATAATAAGTAATAATAGATTGGCGCTTACACATAAGTTAGTGTTTGGCCGAGCTTCTCCTCCGATTTGTGGCGTGCGCCTTGATGTTGTCACATAAAGAGGAGGGACCGACAGTTTTACGCCGACTCCGACCGACGATTGTATTTTCATGATAAGCCGTTTTTCATGGCTGAAATACACTAGGAGGTTTGCCATTGCCTGCCGAGGGGCGACCGCTGGTAAAAAAAAAACATTTTTTCTAAATCCTTTTTGCGATATTGCTTTGACCAGTCCTGCGGAGTGGAAGCGCGCACTTCTTACCACTACACCACAGCGGCGGCCAAAATATATAGATATATATACAAGAATTACTCGTTTAAGTGGCAAATTTCGTGGAAAACAGCCCCAAAAAAATGTCTGGATCCGCCGTTGGACCTGTGTTATTTTTTATTATGTACTTGGATGTGAAATAACACATTATCTAAATTTTTTGAAGGATATTTGAGCTAAAATCCAACGAACATACTTGTTTAAGCCATTAAGCCATCTTATCAAGACAAAAAATCCCAACACACAAATATTGCCACTGATATAACTTATACATATCTGGCAAACAAAATGTCATAAATATGGTAGGTAATAATTTTCGCCTGTGAAGACGCGTCGTTAGCTAGTCTTTCAGTGTTGCAGAGGGTAATACGGCTTTCCTACGGCACCGTGAATTATTTACTTTGTTCGCTCCTCCAATTACGATCGCGAATTACCCCTTTCAAAGAACGTAAATCTATAAGAAGAGACAACACGTTATAATTGTAACGAGTGGGAACATCAGCATCGTGCTTTCTCTTTTGCCCCACTACGTTTTGTGATTGGATGAAAAGAGAAGGCACGCTCCTGATGTTCACACTCGCTACAATTATAACGTGTTGTCTCCTCTTATAGATATACGTTCTTTGCCCCTTTGCCACGGGCACATTCTAAATTCGATTTGACAGTTATCTATCATTGTGTTTTGTAGGTAGTTGCTAAAAATTTATAAGTTTTCGTATTAAATTGGTAATGTACACATGTATAAACTTTACTTTTCGTACTCAGAAAGTGAGTTTCGATAAACTTCCGATAAAAATTAGAGACGCCAGCGATTTGTTCGTAATGCGCGTGGTAATTGGATCTGAATTGCCAACAAATGAGGTAATTCGCTCTTAAAATTTAGTATCGAATTACGTAATTCGAAGGGAGGAAGGATTTGAAAATTTCATCACTGCTATAAAAATTGAAAAGGAGACCAAGGAGGACATTTTTCCATCATTTCGTTTACTACTATTTTACTAACGAATATAATAAAACTTTGGTATTCTTCAAGTTATAACTTCGTTGTTTTTTGATCAAATTAAAAATTGTCTCCTCTATTTGAAAGATACCTTTTTAACAAAGAACAAAATTTTAAAATCATCTGAAGAAAGGCAAGGTCATGCTCTTATTTGATCGTGAGGCAATAAAAAAAATTATTTGATCTTTAGAAAAAATTACATCAAAATCAGTTTTCCTAAAGTCATAAGTAAATTAAAATCGATTAATAAATGGCTTAGTAATGCTTTATTAAGTGATAATAAGTATATCTGTGTTTTACTTTTTTCTTAGAAAAATGTTTTCGTTTTTTTTTTTGTTTTTTATATACATACGTTGCTGCTGGTCTCTCTTTTAAGAGACCAACAGTAGTTGGAGAGCATACTAATTTTGCTTTTTCCAACATATCGCTGTTCAATCTATGGAATGGAATTTCCTCCTTTTTCATCGCTCATCTGGCCTAAATTTAATGGAAACGTATTCAAATGCAGATGGTGCAATTTAATGGACATATTACAGCCCATGGCATGGTAGGCAGACAGCATATCACTATGTCTTCATAATGTTCACTCTTTTTGTTTTCAAGAAAATTTTCATACAAAAAAGAAAAACTTGTCCATGCTTTTTTTCTAAAGACGTCGTTTGTTGTAAAAAATTACCGTCCCTAATCAGTTTCCGTATTTGTGGACCGACAAAAATACCCGTTAAAAATATAATTTAATTTCATTTTAAATCATGTAAAAATAGGCTTGCTTCTTTAAATTTCGCGTAAGTTATTCGTGGAAACAATTTTTCAAGATATTTGAATGTCGGTCCATTTTTGTCGAGTGCTTTCACAAATTGCTTTACTAAACCTAATTTAATATGCAGCGGTGGTAAAATAATGTCCGTTGGATTAACTATAGCAATATTTATATTTTTCTTTTCACCAACTACAAATGAGGTACGTGGAACCCAATCTTTTTGAACGTAGTGCAGGCTAGTTGCTCGATTTTTCCATTCACAAAAATAGCATGGATATTTTAGCCTGCCATTGAAAATTGTTAGTACTTTGAAATCTGCTATAATTAGCCACTTGTAAATTTTGTAATCTAGTTATAACAGTTAATATTTCAGCCATACTGTCATAAGATTTTTTTGATATCAGTAGCGTAAACCAATGGGACTGATGGAAACAAGCCACTGTTGTGTAAAATCACTGCCTCCAAACCTTAAAAATAAAAGATTAGAATATGTCCATATGCAATAACGTAATAAACGTTTTAATTTTACTTTTTCTTGAACCACCGATGCATAGACGCCAATCATATGGAATATGGTTATATCCAAATTTGTCAAACAATGCATTGACATCATTGCAATAAACCAAATTACATGCATACTATTTTTAGTGCTTTCACTGAATAGTGATCCAAAAGCTGAAGTTTCCTCAGTTCTACGAAATGTAATATTGACATTTTGTTGCAAAAATTTCCATTGTTTCATTCTTGAACCCAAAATTTCTTTTTGTCTTTTGGACAATTCTAAATCGCGTATAAGATCTTTAAATTCTGCTTGTACTCTTTGCACCGGTTTTAAGTGCCTTTGAATCATCTATGTCAGAGGTGCTCACCAAATTTAAGTTACTGAGCCAAGCGACAACAACGTCAATATCAATTACAACAACATCGTTCTGGGAATTGCAAAAAATATTTCAAACCCAAACTCACAAATTAATGCTACAAGTATACAGCTGAGCAAATGCAAGCCATCTCGAGGCAGCAGTGAGTGAATGTCGATTGATTTTTGTCCCGTTATAGGGAATTTACATGATTGAAACTTTCACAGGCGATTAGTTGAATCAAAAGTTGAATGAAAGTAGCGATTAGTTGAAAGGCCGTTTACACCAGGCGATTGTTGCTTTCAACTAAAAATCGCCTGAAAAATCGCCTCATGTAAATTCGGTATTAGCTTTTTCTGATTCAACGCATGTTTCATTTGTTTTGCTCTGATCTATAATATAGATTCTATATCGCCTTCTGAATCTCCAGCAGCAGAATATATTCCACCGTTTTTGAATAATTTACGTTTTTTACTTAAAAGACGATTTTCAAATTTTTTTCTTTGTTAGAAAGGTAAAACTGGTATCTTTCAAACAGAGAAGAAAATCTTTAATTCGACGAAAAAACAGCAAAGTTATTACTTCTTGAAGTTGTAACTTAAAGAATACCAAAGTTTTATTATATTTGTTAGTAAAAAAGTAGTAAACGAAGTGACGGAGAAAAACTATAACTGTAGTCGTATCCTATGGGCTATAACAAAGTATATTTTTTGTGTAGCACAGTGTATCACATCACAATTTCCGTTTCTGATTTCAATCGTAGTTTTCTTAACTTCATTTACTCATATATGTATATACATATATGTATATGTATGTATGTATGTACAATAGGTGGTCCAAAAATGCATGTGAAAAAGAAAAGTCGGAATTTTTTTGCTCTCACCCCCTAGGATTCTTCTATGCGAAAAAATACACCCCTATTTTTTATTTTGAAATCGAAAAATATTTAGAGGTCGCTCAAAGCGCTCAAAATTTTCCATATACATATTTTATATGGGAAAAAACAACTTTTCGTGGAAATGGTATAGATTTCTTAAAAATTAATATTTATCGATCGGATTTCAAAATAAAAAATATGCGTATATTTTTTTCGATATAGAACAACCACCCCTCGGGTCGAGAGCATTAAAATTCCGACTTTACTCTTTTTGGATCCCCCTAATGTACAATCTATATACATATATATGTGATTGTCATCCTTACCCTAAAAGTGCAGCTGTCACGTAGACCACGGCAATATGTCCTGTATCCAATGTAAATGTAAATATCCACATACCGACCATTGAGAAGGCGTAAACAGCTAACGTAGTTTCTCTAAAAATTCAATAATAAAAATATTGTATATAAATAAGGATGGCTCAAGAAAAACTGTCCTGCTGCATAAATTTTGTGACTCCCTCCAAAATATGTATATCAGCTTAATTTTGGGTCTTTCCTGAGCTGGACCTTATTGAAAATAGGATTTACAACCAAGTTTACTTCAGTAAATACATATCTACATGTACATATGTATGTATGCACATAAACTGGCGTTGTATTTTTCAAATTACTTTGGCGAACGGTTTGAAGTATTTAATGAAGTAAACTACCGGTTTGGAATCGTTTAGAAATAAATTTATAATAGGTTTGTAATATAAAGATAATAAAGACAAATATGCGAGAACGAAAATTTTCATTTTTCAATTCTTTTTATACAAAATATTTTAGCAAAAATATACCAAATTAAAAAAAAATATCCTTTTTTCAAACGAATTATTTTCTAATAATTTTGGTAACCATTTACGGAATAACAGCTTAAGGCGAAGATTTAGTATAATACTATTCCCTTGATTACCCAAACTAATGGGAATTTTTTGAAGATGCAGTTATGGGAGTATGTATTAGGGGAGAGCTGCTTGCATCAAAATTATCTCTGTAACATTTATGTACGTATTTGTCAACAATACATATTTAAATGGCTCCCGGGTACATGTGACTTTAACTGTTATTCCGTAAATATTTGGAACAAGGTTATCTTAATTTTGAAAGCTGTACTTGTTTAACTCTGGTTATTCTTTTGTAGAGGATAACATACTGACGTTTTTCCAAAGATGGATTTTTAGTGAAATTGAGTGAGGCATTTTTATTATACCTTTTTTTGTATATTTACGATATTACGGGTGAGTTTTTTGTATATAATAAACCAAACGGAATTCATTGGAATTAATTTAAAGAAATACTTATTTTAATATTCGATTGCACTTACTTGAATTTGCGCATTTGGTCTAGCACAATGCCACAGACGACGGAGCCGATCATGCCTGCCAGTACAATAGACAATCCAATGCGACCTGTGTCAACCTCATGGCCTGGATAATATTTGAGCACCACCTGAGAAGAGAAGTAATTTTAATAAACAATACAAGGGTTAAGGCAGTGTGGCACGAATTGGTGCAAATCGTATCCCAATCGTGTGAATACAAAAATATTTTTTTTTATCCTAATCACAAAAAACAATAAGGGTGGGTACTCATCCATCCGCGCAAGTTTCATATTTGGGCAATCGGGCAACTTTGCGCAATGCCTTCAATGAGGACAATTTTATATTCTGTGCAATTTCAGACTTATAATTATTTGAAAAGTTGAACGAGTGAAACTCGAATTTAAGAAAATATTTAAGTCTTACGAAGAAGCGTTGAGCACAAATCAAAATGAAAGTAAACAAAATAGTTGATTGAGGGTTACACATCACACTGCGCAAATTTGCGCGACAAAATTTCCGCGCAACTTGCCCTTTTCGTGCAAATAGTTTTCCATACAAATTTTGACATTTCATTTGCGAGGGTTTTAAATTGTACAGTTTTAAGAAAATTCAGTACAGAATTAAGAAAAATTCCACAAATTCGAGCTTTTTAACCAGAACTTTTATAACATTTTTGGTATGCAGTTAGTTAACAGCCTTATAAAATTTTAGTAAAAAAAGTGCACGTTTTGAGCGGCTATAAAAGGGCATTAATTTTTAATATTTTTTTTTTGCTGACGGCTTTTACGGGGTTTTCCATATAAAAAGTGAAATTAATAAAAAGTAGCATTGATTATTTTACATTTTTTGTCGAAAACGGTCTTACGTATTTTCTTCCATAAGAAATTCACGAGTATACAGAAAAAAGTGCAAAACGCCGCAAAAAAATATTAAAGTTCAATGCGATTTTTGCACTTATTTTACTTGAGTTTCATAATAATTGTAACTGCATACCCAAAAATTGTATATAAATTCGGATAAAAAAGCTAAAAATGTTGATGAAAGTTTGTTGAGTTCTTCTGAATTCTGTACATTGTTTTATTTATATGATTTGAGTTAAAGCATGAATCTTATTTCTATAAAAAGAAAACAAAAAAATTTTAGCTTGTAAATATTAAAAACAAAACACCATTCATCCACTTTTGACCGCCACTGTATGTGCGTAATTATTTTTTAACTCACCGGATTGAGCAAAGTGGATATTGCATAGAATACGCCAACATTCATTCCATACGAAATTAGAAGCAGTACGTAGTTGCGATTCAGCACCAAACTCTTCAATGATTGCATAAATGGTGCCTGAGCAGCTGCTTCATCTGAAGATGTGGCCGAACGCTTTGGGTTTGGCGGTGTAGGTGGTTTATCCTTAAAAACTAAAGAATTAAATAAAAATGAAATTCCAAACAAAAACGAAGTCTCGGAGAGGGAAAACGATATGGACTGTTATTATTATTAATAATAATAATAATTTATTATATTGCAATATGTATGCATGAATGAATATCTGTATTTATGAGTACTTTTAGAGAGTAAAAAGTGTCTTACAAAGTATCATCAGCACCATTAAAACGGTCGTAAAGCCTGCAAAGCAGTAAAACATAAAAAGCAAATCGCTGCCAATTTTATCCAGATCATCGGAGTTTTCCACTAAAATTGGAGGCAGCACGAAACCAACTGCTATGCCGAGCTGAAAAAGACCAAGCATAAAAATACATACTGTTAGTGAAAAATTGTGTGCACGTTTAATAATAAAGAGAGAAACAACAATTTTTTATAAATTTTTTTTCCGAAAACTTATGTTAAGATATGTATATTTGGTAGAGTCCGACCGATTAATCGGCATCGGTTAGTATCGGCACAAAATTGAGCATCGGTGAAGTGACAGACAACATCAAAAAATATTTGCTGACAGCTCACAAAAATGATTTTTTTTGAGTCTGACTAAAAAGTTTGAAATTTTGGTTAAAATAAGCACAATTTTTCTAATTTTTGTACAAAGGGCGTGTGTGAATCGGTAACAAAGTTCTATGGGGAAAGCTGTTGAATAATATTTTTACTATGGTGAGACAGTTTTGCCAATCTGCTGTGTGAAATGAAATCCTTTTCGACAGCAGTAAATTTGTATGATAATCCCAGATTTATGCAGAATAAAATATTACAAATTGAAGTGAAATTAATATTTTAAGAAAAATCTACCATCGTTGATTGCAATTTATCAATTTAAGCTTTTATTTAACGAAAAATTACACACATCAACAATCTTTGCGATTGTCAAAATTTTCTATGCATTTGTCAAAAATTTCACTAGCCTTATGAGCTACTGAAATTTTATACACCTAGTAGTTGTCAAAAATTTACTCGCCGCGAACTTTTTTACCGATTCGCACACGCTCAAAGTCTGAAATCTGAATTTATATGGTGTTTGTTGTATATCAGCTTGACTTTTATAAAAAAATAAAAAAAAACATTAAATAAACAAAAGACAAATGCCAAAACCGGTCAAAATATCGCAAGTCTTTTATTTTGTGGACAACTATATGTATGTACATATATACCTAGCATATAAGTTCTAACGCATTGAGTGCAAAAAGGGTATATTTCAGTACAAAACGAAATTAAATTTAATGGTCCTAAATATTTCTTGCTTAGGACCATATAAAAAAGTGTTTTATGTAATTTTCATAAATGTGATATAGTATGTACATGGCTCATTCCATCTCAAATCACCCAAGCCGGGGGAAAGTGAATTTAAGATTGCGATAAAACTCACAGGGATTGTTCCTTGAACAATTTAAGGAGACACGTATTTTTTCTTTTTGCTCAGAAACGCGAATTTTTCGAATAATGATTTTTTTCTTTTTGAGTACGAACGCTTCTTTTTTCCTCTCTTAATACCAACTTTTGATGAAATCGTTTATAACGATATTGAATCTACTGATTGAGATATTGATCTACTGAATCGATCTAGTGAACTAAACTTCAGTAATTGTTTATTAATAATTAATTATTGTTTATAAACAAAAAATTTTTTTTTTCAAATTGATTTTTTTCAAATTACATCTTTTTTTTCTCTCAAACTTTTTTGTCTATTAGGGAATAATATAAACTATTTTCAGTACGAGTAGCAATATGCTAAAATACGTCGTTTTCGAGTTATGATTTTCGTGCCAGTTGAGGGCACAAAAATTGTTGCCCATTATAACAAAATTTCCTTGCTGGAAATTTTTTAAGGTTGCCCGATCAGACCCAAATTTTTTCCCAATTGGCCTCTAATTTTGGCCCAATTGGGCCCAATTAGTGATTTGCCCAATCTACCGAAGATTTCCCCAACCAGTGCTCACAATTTGCTCAAAGTGAACATGCATACGCAATTAAAACGTTTTTATTGATAAAATCACACATACACACATCAAAATTCCCTACGAAAAAAAAAATATTTTTTAATTTTTTTCTTGAAAAATTTACCATATACAAATTTTTTGATAAAAAAAATTAGTTTTTGAAAATATGCCATTTCAAAAAAATTGGAAAAGATCACAATGGTAGCTCTGAGTATTGCGCAATATTTAAGTATAATGTTATGGGGTGCACTCTACAATGATTCGAGTTATGATGAGTAAAATGCGTACATTACCAATTTACAAATATTTTAAACTTTTTTAGAATTTTTTTGAATATGCAGTTTTATAGCCCATTAAATTTTAGTATAATAAAGTGGAAGTTTTAAGCGATTGCAAAACTGCCGTTAATTTTTTTTTAATTCTCTTTGAAAACGGTTTTAGGCATTTTCATCGATAAGGAAAAAGTGCAAGTTGTTTGCAAAGCGGCGTTGAATTTAATATAAGCGGCGTAAATATTTCGATCAGCTGTTTATGCTAAGCCCAACACGTTGAGTTCAGGTAGCGTAATAATTTTCCGCTGGAAAAAATGGCCGACAGTTGCCAACTGTTGAGCTGAGCGGAGCTACTCAACTGTGCGTTTCTAAGACAAATAGCCAATGGTGAGGCAACAGCTACGTCTTATAAATGCGCCCAATGTCTGGTGATTTCCGCCAAATTTTCCCGGTAGTTACCCATGGTTCCCGTGTCACCCTAATTGAAAATTGTGTTAAACCTTGGTGTGAATTTTGCTATTTTACACCATTTGACTTTAACGCTTAATATGAGAGCCTTCACACATGAAACTGAATTTGTAGTTTCTCAAATAATATAACATATATAATAACATTCTTTCTGATGACATTTTGCATTCTGTTATATTGGCCCCAAAAGAAGATGATTGCTCTTTTATCAATGCAGACATTTTGGAGTGTATGCCGAGATAAGAAAAGTCATACACTGAGAATTAAAAAAAAACGTGCTAAATTTCAAAAAAATACGCATAGAAAGAGCACCAAACCCAACTCGTATTAAATTTGAGTATACACGTTATAATATACATATGTCGTTGTGCACTTCGCAGATGCTTTTTCGTAATTAAGAAGGAAACAAATTTTAATTTCATGTTCCATCTGGTAATTGAACCCGGACACTATTGGCAGCAACCAATTGTATCAAGCTTCTTTGCGCACTCAGCTACAGCCAAACATGTAATAGTGTTTTCAAATGTTGAGTTTGAATCAACATCACAGCGCGCGATTAGTGCTTTTGTACAGGCAAACTTGTACCATGCATGGGTCTATGCATTGTCACCGCTGCGCATGCTTTGTATACATATATCTACTTTCTTAATTACATATGAAAAAGCATCCGAGACGTGCGAGTGAATAATGCTTCATTTTAATACCGGCGTATTTGAATTGAATATTTCCATTATACATACACTACTTTTGAACACATTTCACTTGATTTAAATACGAACATTTTTAAACGGTAATCAAATAAAAAAATTTAGTTCTTACTACGCGTTCTTTTCCTCAGTGTACTTTAATGTTGATAAAATTATTTATGATGATATTCGGGATCATAACAATTACCTATTGAATTTTTAAACTTTTTAACTGTAAGCGGATTACCTCCACATAAATTCGTACTCATAAAGAGCTGTATTGTAATGCTTACATATAAGCAATTTAACACAAAGAATACTTTGAAAAAAATGCATAAAAACCCTTTAGGTTGTGAAGTTTTAACTGAAATTTCATGTGGCTTGCGAATATTAATCCCTCGCATTCATTTGTCCTATTCTGGCATTCTTTTACCCTTTTCGTCCCAGGTATACAGTTTCCAATCATTCCCGCTTTTGGTATGACTATAAGTAAATCTCAGGAGCAAATCTTTCAAAAGGTTGGTTTATTATTACGAACGCCTGCATTTTCTTATGCAAAATGATATGTTGCTGCCAGCAGAGTTCGTTCCTTTTACGGATTGCGGTTCCACATTTCAGATACTTCAGATCAACGTCATTTGTCTGCCGACCAAAGGGTTTTTACAAAACCACAGTTTATATTGTTGCCCACTAATAAAATATTGAAAATAAAAAAAAAAGATATAAAAAATTTTAGTCACGTTTTACTTAGATCCAAAGCAGGCGATTTTCCGCTAAGATATTTGTACCTTATAAGTTAGACGATGTGCTATGTCTGAAAGCATCTCCAGGGCTCTTAAAAAACTATAAAATTCGACAGTAACTGGCACTCCTAGTGTACTTTGAATTTACTAAATAGCAATATAGAAGTATTACATATATCACAGCATAAAAAAATAACAACACTTCAAGTCATCTGAAGTATGTTGAGTAATAGGTTTTTATTGACATCTTTAATATCTAAAAACTAGTGTTGCGATGTATCGAGTACCTTTGAGTTCTTTGGTATCGATACTTTTAAGGATCGGGTATTTTTGAGAGTACTGAGTATTTCTTTATATGTGCACATGTTGGTAACATTTCAATGCTTAGTGTTCCCAGGCTGGCATCACTTTAACCAAATTAGTATTGTACTTGAAAACAATTGAAACTTCAAATTGAGTACAATCATTTCTGAAAACCGGCAAATGTAAATAATGTAATGTAATAAATGTATCTATTCGGCACTTAATACAGAGTACATTGAATCGATCCTGAGAACAGAGTATTTTTGAGTACTCAGTGCTTTCGAGTTATTTTTTGAGTACTGAGTTCTTTGGAGTACTCAGTGTCGATACTTTTAAAAATCTTTTGGTATCGATACTGCCCAACACTACTAAAAACGCATAATCAAGACCTCTGCTCAACTGCCAGCCCTCCGGATCTCGATTTATATATTAACAAGCTAAACTAGTGGGGTTTTTAATTATGCGTTCTCCGCCTAACATATTTATGTGTGCTTATTTAATTGTTTATTTGGAACAAATATTTAGTTATACATTTTAAACTATTGGCTGTCCTCAATTAAAAATAACTAATTTCCATCCTAGTGAAAAATTGCTATAAATGCAAATTCTGACCATAAAAGCGCTGATGTGCATAGTTTTTATATACATACATATGTATGTACATATGAAGTTATGTAACTGCATATGTATACACATATATATATATATATATATATATATATGTACATACATATCTATGTACTCGTATATTAATGTTTATATGTACGTATGTATGTATGGTGGCATGGACACAACAGTTGCATCAAACTTTGATCTGTGGAAATTTTGTTAAAAAATAGTTACCACGCTTCCAAGAGAGACAAACAACCGGCTGTAGCATTGAAAAAGGAGCAAGGTCATATTTATTAAGAGGTTTGTTGCTGGTTGAACTGAACTGCTGTTGACATTTGTGTGTTTTTCCCATTCAAGTGGGGGCACAAGGAAACCAACTACATACATATGTATGTATGTATGGCAGTGTGGACTTTATAAAAAGAGGTACATATACACATGAGATTAATGCATATTTGCATTCTTGTGCATATTTGAGTATGTATGTATTTACATATGTATATGAGTACGTGAGCACATACATACATACGTGAATAGATGTAGAAGAATCGACTTGTCGGCGGGAGAGATGATTAATTTTTACAAACACTTTAGTTGTCCTAGAAGGACATTGGATAAAATATATTCACGTGTACAAACACATATGTATGTACATATGTGTGTATGAGTATGTGTACCCTGCAAAATTTGTAGGACCAGGTGGTCTACTGGGACGTAGTTTTAAAGTATGTGCAAAACGACCAGATTGCGTACTAGTAACTTGTTATGCTGACCTGGACCACTTCAAACGTAAAAAACTGATATATCGCTAGCTTAGAAAGAAAAGTTGCTAAGTCCCATTTTAAAAATTTTACAGGAGAGGAAAAAATCTTCCTATAGCCATTTTCTTTAACTATTTCGCAAGACTTTGAATCAAACATTTTGCGCGTTTAAAGCACAGCAAAACTCCATAAGAATCAGAAGGATTCGATATTTATTAAAAGATGTCGTATTATTTTGGCCTTATCGGATTTGTGGTGCTTCTTTTGGACTTAACAAATTTTCCTTTTATTGCTTATGAAGAGGAAAAAATAAAACAAGTACCTTTATAATTTTCGAAACGATGCATATTCAGTTTCTCTAGCCTCCTATATCAAAATATGAGTTTTCATAAAAAGTGGACTTAGCAACTTTTCACTCTAAGCTAGCGCTATGCATAAGAAAATGCCTTTTAAATAATAGATTTTGCTATTTAAATTTAAAAAGCACCTTTAAAAATGATCAAATATTCGGTTTATACAAAATCTTATGAAATTCAATCCATGGTCCAAAAGGACTAGTAGTCTAGGTGGTCCCATGTTATGCAGTGGTGGACCAGAAGTGGTCTCATGCTTTGAAGCATTGGACCAGAGATGGTCAGGTCCAATGACATCGCAATGTTAATGTAACCATATCTTCTATGTAAATATTAATTATGATGACATTGTAACAAAGGGATTCAAAATTAACTTATGTGTGGACCTTATTAGTAAAATTTATAATATCCTCAGAAAGCTACATTACTCGTACATATGTATAATTCTTAGCTATTACCACTGCTTTTGTGAAGCGATGAAAAATGTTTTCACTTCACGTTTTCATAGAACCAAATCTGGCCCCCAGGCTTAGTACATTATCACACATTGTGAATAAGCAAAATTTTAATCTTTGTGGTGTTTTTTGGGACTTTCGATAAAATTTGTTTGGTTTTTCTACAGATATTTGCGAGTATTTAATTTTTTTTTTGGAGTTTTATTTTTTGATAAAGTTTTTGACGAACATCCCAGCCATAAGGGAATTCAGAATTGCAATGGATGGCGAACATTCCATGTAAAACTTTTAAGGGCCCTATTCACAATGCAGTTGAGAGAAATACATTTAGCGGATTCTTTTGTCAGTGTACATAGTTAACCATTGACAAGGTTGAACTTTCAATTTTCATATTCACAGTAGGTACTCAGTTAACAAAAGTTTAAACGTGAACTATACTTAGAATTAAATTTTTTTTGTAAGCGACAGTAACAATTATACTCGTATACATAGACACAATTATATGAATTTTCAATTTTCTTGTTAGTGATTAAGTTAAAAATAGTTTTAGTCCTAGTTCGGCCCGAAACAAACGAAATCTTAAAACACTTTGCATAGCCGCTTTGGGCTCTTTAAAGAGGGGAGAAAAATAGCAAATGTATCTCAAAATACTGGCAAATCTATTTTTTTGTGAATTTACTTACCTGGTTGCCAAATACACCTACACTACAAGCCGAAGACACCTGGTGAGGTCCAAACCAAACTGCAGCGATTCGCGCCGGCAAGGATAAAATACAGACCTGTGACAGAACAAAGAAGAGTAAACATAAAAAAAAATTGCATGTACGCATATTAAACATTTTTTATTTACCGAATGATTATGAGCCTTATTATCTATCTCGAACGATAGCCCGCACGAACGATTCGTCAGCAAAAGAATTAAAAAAAAAACAAAAATATAGCCTGGTATCATCATTCAAGCTGGTTTAAACGTAACCAAGATGATTACGACGATGTAATCGACGTAAATCAAGACGATGGCGAATGATAAAGTTATAAAATTGCCAGCAGACTCGATATCGTTTGCAGACGACTCGTTCATGCGGCCTATGGTTCGAGATAGATAGTAAGATTTTAAAAATAACTGGATACAAATTTAAATTTTTTAGTTGAGAATTTCCTTAATAAGCGGTTAGATCAGCCGCTAGTATAAGAAATTGAACTTAGTCAAAGCAAAACTCGAATTTCGACCGGCGTCGTTTTGTCACGAAAGATTTATTTCATGACTGGGCGGTGGCGACAGTACATGCCAAGGTGTGTCGTAGTTTTTAGTGTTTTCAAAGTTTTAGGATGAAAAGAAAATATAACATTTAAAAAGGGATAATTATTGTTTCGTTAAGCCTGGGTTAGGATAAAATAACGTAAAGTACAAGTACTTATCTTTGTTTAATAATAATATTCTAAATATGGGTTCTTCAAAATATGGTCACTCAAATTATAAATGCGCTGTAATTGTGTTAAAATAGGCGAAATAATACGACGATCGGTGAATGATGGCATCGCTCAATTCGGCCAACTTCGCTGTTTGTCTGTATTGCGTTTCAGAAATTTGACAGTAACTACATATATTTGTAATATGTTAAGGTTTTTTTTTTAAATTTATTTGTCAACATCCGGGCGTCTTCGTTTGGGCCATTCGGCTGAAAATATTGGTGACGGAATCATCGGATCGTGCTTCTTCGAATATTATACCGGTAGCGCTGTTACGGTGAGCCAACTCTTTATGCTCTGAATTGGATAAAATGGTTTTGGATAATGTGTAGTTTTAACAGGACGGTGCTACTTTCCACATAGCGCATGGAATAATGGACTTATTGCGAACGAAGTACCAAGGACGCATTATCTTACGATACAACAAGGTCAAAAGGCCGCGGAGATCTTGCGATTTGACACCATTGGGCTTCTTGCTTTCGAGCTACTTGAACAGTATGGCTATGACAATAAGTCTGAGACGATTCCAGAGCTGGAAAACGAAATCACACATGCTATAAATGTTATACTGCATTTACCGGGATTTTTATTTTTTTTTGAGATAATCTTTTTAAAGAAACAAGTATACTTGGAGATTTGCCATGGCTGCTAAGGGGTGACTGCTGTTGGAAAATCTTTTTCTATCATCTTTGGATGGTAAATAAGTTAAGCTGCTGTTTAGTTTAGAAAGCTGTGATAAAATACGTTTGGAAAATATTGATTAATAAATGGGCTTACTTCAATCTCTATGGGTACCCACTATCAAACACATTTCTTATTTTTTATGTAGGTATGCACTAAATAAAATACATTAAGTGCGAACAAAATTTTTTTTGGCTTTTTTATCGTTTGACTAGGACGAAAATTTTATATGAAATCAACATTCTCCGGAAAAAAACTTGTTTCTTTTGTATGGGTATCGACCCCTTCCATAGCAAATATGCACATATGTATGTATCTACATTTATAGCACTTTGCCATCACTTAATAATGGCTGCAGTTCGCTGAAAACCATAAGCCAGATTATTTATTACCCTTGCGCTCAAAACTACATCGCGATTTGTTGCTTGCTAAAGTGTCTAATGATGAGAGGAGGCTTAAAATAGGTAGCACCAGCACACATACATATATACATACATACAAATACATGTATGGGCATATATAAGTATGTATATATGTATACCCAGTCAGAATAGGAATCTAGAATGCATCAATTTACTTACGGCAATGCATTAGGAAAATTATGTGTTCCTTTAAACCGGCGATGGGCACTGCCTTGCCCGCGGGCAAAGCTCTCTTAACTTTTCTATAAATTCTGTATAGGCGCGTTCAGAGTAAAAGCTCTCTCTGCCCATCGCTGCTTTAACACACAACAAATTAATGCAGATAAAGCTTTAAAATAACTGTAAATGGTATCACAAATATGGCTCTTTCTTGCGTTTGCGTTGTATTTATGATATGTTCGCTATTCTATAGGTACATTGTATGAGTGCTGTCATGCATGAACAAATTTCCTATTGGGCATTTATATATATATACTATGTATGTGTGTATGTATGTTCACATTAGCCCAACGTCTGTGCTCACATCACTTAGGATGTGAAATCAAAAGTGAAACATCACTGCACACCATTTCACCGGCAGCAGAATACCGTGTGTACACACCTGGGACAATGCCACAATGGTTTGACCAATAAATGTGACATAAAAGAGATCCGGTTGCACGGAGAATACTTTAATCCATGAACCAATGCATGTGCCCACAACGCCCACGAGCGCTGTTATGCGAAGACCCTGAAAATATAAAAAAAGAAATGCAGTATGAGTGAAACTTTGAACTACATACATACATACATACATACATACATATGTACATACCTATATACGTATGTATATACATATTTATTTGCACTGAATGAGAATTTTGTTAAAAAAAAAAAAAACGGATGAAATTATTAAATTAATTAATAATACAGGCCTGCGATGGTTTCACCCTTAAAAAAATTCCATCACGCAAACTTTCTTTAAAACTTCAAAATATTTTCAAACTTTAACCTTCTTAAACATATTTCCTTATCTTAGGTATGCAGGATGAAACATTTAGTTAGTATGGGAGGTGCCACGCCCCCTTGTCTAATCGAGATAAAGGCTACGCTATATTTTAAGTTGGGATAAATCACACCATTGTACAAAATTTCATAATGACCAACTCACTTTCGAATGTAAAATATTAGTAAGGACTATTAAAGAACAGCAAAAATAATATGGTGACCCTTTTTTCGTCAATGACCCTTTTCGGGACTTTCTGAGAATTCTCAACGGCAACACTGGTGGTGATATATTTTTACCAGAAACGCGGCAAGTAAAGCTGTGTATATCATTAACAAAAAATATATACACAAAACGTGATTTTTACCTACGTTAGAATGCCACGGGGTTTAAGTGAAGCTGATGCTGAAAATGCTGTTATTGCTGCCATGGCGAATCGCCATTGAAATTCGGTTTGTAATTTCTTAAAAAACCCGGATAGTTATGGCACAATTAAACGCTGTGGAAGGCGGCCTTCCGCCTTTTTTTTAGTTTAAACATATCAAGAAGAAGAGTGCTTTAAGTTTGGCGAAAAATGTCGCGGCTAGTTACGATTCGCGTTTGCTGAAAATCTGAAATTTTGAACGGATGCTTATCAAAAAATTATTTTTTTCTGACGGAAAAAAATTATTTGCACAGTCTAATGGCTGGCAGGCTAAACTCAAAGAACGTGGCGAATATTAGGTGCAATCCCGTATTCCTCGGACTCGGACAATACTGTCAAAAAGTAAAAATTCGCTCAGAGCGAGAGAGTAACATTGAACGGTACGGGACCGCTTTCTAGTAAAAAATGGTAACTTCGGTCAACTTCAACATAACCTCCAAACTTTGGTTGTAAGTTTTTGCTTATTTTGTATGTAAACACACTCAGCTCACACATGTAAATAACCAAAAATACTTTCAAATGCATTAGAATCCACTTAAACAAGTAATTAAATCCTTTTCAACATGAATTAGCAGAGTGCACTTTTCTTTTGTTTACACACTACAGCTGATCGTTTGACACATTTACCAGCAAAAAATTCTCGGACTAAAACTGGTAACTCCTGACGGAGAGAGAACCGTATTTACTCTTTTTTGTCCTCTCAATAGTCAGAGAACCGAGTACTGGATCGATTTCTAGTAAAATCTGACTGATTCTGATATTACACATCCTCTCCTTCTCTATATTGATGGGTCATGTTCTTTGAGGTTTGGAAAAAATTCTGACGTGATGGAGCAAAACGGACTTCAGATTCGTGTTCAGGGCACCAAAATGCATGGGGTAGGGTATTCATGTCAAAAGTACATGGAACTTTTTTTTTTTGTGGTGCAGTATAGTTCTCTTTATTATTATCTAAATGTGCGATATGTGCATTTATACATATGTATGTATGTATGTACATTCATACAGACGTGATTGTTTCGACAATATATATGGAAAATTAATGTATCTATACTTAGTTATCGAATCTGCTTAAATTTGTAGAATGAACTCTCACCATCTTATCAAGAAACCAACTGCCAGGGAAAATTAGTGGTATATAGACAATCATATATACCATTGACGTCCAATCCACCCACTTGTCATTAATACCGTAATATCTGAAATTAACAGAAAATATGCATACTTTAAACAAAAACAATTTTAAAATAGTAATTAAATAAAAATTCGATAATTCGAACATAAGATTGTCGACACAATTTTGGAATATCATTAGTAAAGTATGGATTAAATGATTTATGTACATATGAAACTACATACATATATCGGGCATGGCTATTAAATAACGAGAATTGTACTGCCATAGAAGAAGTACGCATGCGTCAAGCACGCACCAGTGACCGACAGCTGTTTAGCTTGAATCATTCTCTTTAAGACCCATCTACATAGAACTTTCGCATTACGTTCGCTTTCGCTAAGATAAATTAATATTTCACATCAATAATTGCATTAAAAGCGATATTTCTGAGTCGCATTTGATTAAAAAGGAAAAAAAAAATTCACGTAATTTTCATGATTTGCAATAGCTGATGAACGACGCACGCGAAAAGTTGAGAGTTGGTCATCTTTCTGCTTTGTGTCGGCGTTAGCGTTGCCAAATTTTGGCTATGTGAACGGCCGCATTTGAATTCATGTCAGCTGTTGAAGCAACGCCAACGCCAACGCAACGCAAAAGTTGTATGTGACGGGCCTTTAGAATGCAGAGCTTCTTAAGCTGAAGGTAAATACATATGTATATCGCTAGTATGGTATGGTATAAAAATCCACCTTATATATATATACATATATATTACCTTGGAAGCAAACAATTTTACATTTTCAACAAAAAAATTGCATTCAAATTGCTTTTGTTCCCCTTCTGGACTCGGAATTATTTTGTAGTTCTCCTTCTGCATTTGGAATTCTTCAATGGCATTTTTGTTGGCCTCTAATGTTTTTGTAACTTTAAAAGCATGGTAAAAAAAATAAGGTAGTTTCAAAAAACAACTTTTTGACGGATACTGGGATTTTTGAAGCTTCATAATTTGTGCATGTTGCTATCATGGGGCTGCCACAAACCTGAACCCATCGACCAGGACACTTATTCCCTCGAATACAGTTTCTTCGGTTCTGGCGTTGCATTATTTTGAAGTATTTTTTGATATTATAAGCAATGTGGTTTTGTGGCACAATCCGTAGAGCTGAATGATTGATGGATGATGAAACACTCAAGTTCTGAATCATAAAAGAAAAGAAAGAGAAATTTCGTGACGGTGACGTAACTTGGAAATTTGTTTGGCGCTTTTAACGCTTTTTAACAAATTTCCACCAATATATCCTACAATGCGCTTCATGATAATTCTAAAAGACTTACCTAATAAGGAGTGGAAAAAAGTGCTTCCCTACATACTTACTAGAAATGGGTTTCCTATTTAAAATTTGCGCGAATGTACTTAAGCAAATGTTTATATTATTTAGCATTAGGATTCATTAAGCATTTTAAGTCTCAATAAAACATGTTTGATCTGAACCTTAAATATTTAAATTCTTTAAAGAGGTATGATTTTTATGAACTAAAACAGACTTAAAAGAACTTCTTCAAAAGGCTTTCAGAAGTACGTCCTACAAAAGCAAAATCCCTTCAATTTATGCCACTCCGTACAAAAAAGGAAGCAGAAAGAAATGACTTTCAGAAAGGCCTTTTGGAAGACATTTTAAGTCCTGAAATTATCCACTGCGTAGTGAGTGTGACCCCACAGCCGTGAATCTGGCATTTGATACAAAAATAGATTTTAACCAAATGAACTAAACAGAAGGGAGGTAAACTCACCAGATATTGTTCAACATGTTAGAACAAATGTTTTATTATCGATTTTCGACTAATAATGCTTTTTTTACGAAGCAAAAATCTGCTAAAAATTAGATAGGTGCCTGCATTGACCTTCATTAAAAAACGAGGACAATGTAAGTGTGGACCAAGACACCAGGACAATTTGTTTAAATTAGGACAAATCCTGGAAAACCAGGACGTCTGGCAGCCCTATGCTAGCAGCGTTACCATATTGTTAATATTGAAATTGAATAAGAGATGGGAATTTCTTTCACAGTTAATGGGTGTAAATTTGTTTAGTCTTCTTAGACGAAACCAAACAGGTCTGTACATGATGTACATATGTATTGAAAATATGTACATAAAAAGAGTAGTGGTATTCACTAAATTGAGCAAGTTAGCACAAGCAAATTAGCTGAAGCTAATCTACTCTCTTGCCAGAGTGCCAGGCCACTTGTTCAATTTGGTGAATACTTATAATGCAATTTTACTTCGAAATACAACGGAGAATGGCGTACATATGTACCTACGTTTATGGCATTTCTCACCCCTACCCCAAACATGAAAATGAATCTTTATGTCACTTGTGATCAGATGATTAAGTTAAGTGACATTTTGACCAGTTCTGGTTATATATTGTGAAAAATTTGCTGTGATTGTTCCGGGAGTGTATAAAATATAGCGACATGTATCGCATCATGCAAATGCCAGTTCATACCATGGCGCTCATGCATGTTTGACAATGACTTATGAAGACGCTGTCGAATAAATTGAAATCAAATCATGCATCAAATCTATGCATGTCAACACAATCAACACATGCTACATAGGGTGCATTACAAAACGTCAAAATACAAAGCATCAGTCTCTTTTATTACTAAACCTCAGTAGATTGTAATGCCAAATGTGCGCAACTACGGTTAGATGCTAGTTTTCAACTAGGTTGCGCAAGTTAGACTTTTTTCTAGTGGTTGTTAGAAATAAAAGAGACTAATGCTTTGTATTTCGACGTTTTGGAATGCAGCCATAGTCAGCATTGGCAATTACATTGTATATACGTGATGAGATTTTGCAAGCACCTATTATAGTATAGTAAAATTCATTAAACAATTGAATGGTCGACGCGAATAACGTTCCCTGGTAACACTGGATCAAAAATTTTAATTTTGTTTTTGTTCTCCACTCGCCACAATCCAATTTGTATGTAGAATCGCTCGCTAATTCCAAAAATCTAGTTATTTTTTCTTTATGGAAACGTTTTCAAGATATTTGCAATTTACCGTTACTCAGCTTAAAAAAAAGAGTGCTTCCACTTAATCACATACATATATCTTACGAACCAACTGAAAAATCGTAATACGATATAATGGAAATGAAAGCAAATAAAATTTTCCATAAACCGTATATATATACATAACTTTTCGATAGCCCATCATTCTAAATTTTTTATTGTAATGATTGGTCAAATGAAAATGCTCAAGAATTTTTGTATGAAATATGAGCAGAAAAGAGTGTTACTCATACGCCACGGACACCTGAGTAGCTATAGTGTTTGCATTGAAAGCAAGAGGTGTCAGAAATGTTTAATTAATTTCTCAGAAACTATCAGGACTATCGAAAAGTGATGTATATACGGTGTATGTAGAATTTTAATGGCTTTCATTTTCCGTAGCTATTACGATTTTTCAATTGGTCCGTTATATATACCTGATTAAGTGAAACCACACTTTTTTAAGATGAATAACGGTAAATTGCAAATATCTCGAAGAGTTACCCATGGAAGAAAAAATTATCTCGATTTTCAGAATCAGCGAGCAATTCTACATAGGAGTTGGATAGCGGCATCTATAGAACATTTTTGCTGTAAACCAGTGGAATTAGCATTCTAATGTAACCAAAAAATTCCAAAAACTTCATATTAAATCACATACATTCCTTGATACTAGGCAATGCAAAATTGAATGCCATACTTTTCTTAGAACACCCGTGGGGAAAAAATGCATTTTCGAATGTCAAAACGGCTGCTTTACCGATTAATTTTTTCGATTACCATACATTACATTTTCCCACTGTATCAGGGATGGATCCACGGGATTGTTTTATACCAAAATATTGCTTCTGCCGAAAGCGCTACGATTAATTCGCATCCGGTGTTCTAAAAGCACACTGTGCGGCTTGTGAAAGGACAAGAGATGTATTTTAAAATGCTGTGCATATTTGTCAGATATGAGTTCAGCGATCCGTCCCCGTTCCCGTAGATCCCCCCCTTCCTCCCCATTTTGTAGAAGGTAGGCGAATGTCAGAGAATAAAGCGAGAAAGTTGTTTTATTTCTTCGCCTATTTATTGCGCCATGTGTATGTATGTACTATGTACCATTTTTGACATTAATGACATTAAACGCAAGTGCGTGTTTAAAATGATCGCCCGGAATGTAATTTGATTGGGGTAAAATCATGGAAACTAAATTGCGATTTTCCGGTTGCATGCCGGCAATAGATAAATATGTAATTTTGTTCTTGTTTTGATTCACAATTAACGGATTACGATGATTAGTATACATGCCGATCAATACAATAAAAAAATCACATGCACATACTTATATAACTACCCTGCAGGGAAACCACGGACTAGTGAATCAAATTTCTAGTTCCGTACTAGGTCTTTATCGCCAAAAAGGAACTAGTCCGATAGGAGCTAGATCCCCACCAGTCCAAAATCGGCGAAAAGTCGTATTACTTTTAAATAACTAATTTTTTCAGGTTTTTTCACTAGAAATCTATATCTAAAGTGACGAATTTAGAACTGGTTCGGAACTATAGAAAAAGAGATGCAGAACGAACTAGATCTTATTTGTCGAATTTAGAACTAGTTCGGAACTATCGAAAAAGGGATGCAGCGGGGGGCAATTGACACTCCCTAGGACATCGCCATGTTAAATTCGCCAGTTGTTTGCATGCAAAAGAGATTTATCGCGAACCAGTACTGGGTCTAAATGTACTAGAAGCACACCAGTTCAGAACTAGAGATTTTCCCCACAGGGTATGTATGTACTACAATTTTGATACGAATTGCATAAATTCTAGTGATGACAACATTACCCAAAAAGTTAATAACGATCGGTAATTTTCTCTTCATTAAGGAATAATAGATTCGTAATTTCTCTTTAGTGTAATCAAATAACTAATCAATTGAGTGTCGCCCTTTGAGCTTCTACTCATAGCTTTCAGTGCTGTTTGGCAAAGCTTTTGTAAAAATACTTGCGTGATAAAAACCTACATAAATAAGTTTCAATAAAAAAAAATGTCCATGAAAAAGCGTGCGTGATAAAAAAACAGAGGTTTTGATAGCAAGCGTGAATGTGATTGAAAACAACTCTCGCGCCCATCTTTGGTTTCAATATCGAACTACATGACGACATTAGAGAAGACCAAGGCATTTCAGAACTGCTGCTTGCTGACGAGTAGTTCTAGATGCGTGCTAATACTCTGTAGGACCTAAGTATGTAGGTTCGAAAAATTTTACAAAATATTGTTTGTAATAGGGGATTGTATATGGCGGCCGTTCATGTTCCGACTAATATAAAAAAGACGAGTAATTTTTAAGCAAAAAACAAAAAAACATGATTTCATCAAACTGTAATGTCGTACAGTGCAATTGAAGTGAAGAGCAAAATTTTAAAAAATTTATAAATATTAATTGTGAATGAGTTGGTGATATCTGGATTTTAAATTGGTCTTTTGTTTAGTTCTGTTTTCATTTGAAAAAAAAAAAACATTTAAAATTTTTTCCCATAAGACTATGCAAAACTCATATTCAGAAAAGAAAACGCTATTAGGTGCTGAATGTAAAGGCTTTTCGATAAATAATTTCGAAATCAACTCCCAAAAAAGGGTGCGTATTCTAATAAAAGGCAAACACTTACAGCAAAAAAAATAGATTCACTTACTTCACAATAATGTTGTTTATAATACTGTATTGAATCCATTGAGCAGCATTTGCGCCCGAATAAAATACAAACAGGAACAAAACTACCCAGCGGCGTTTGTAAACTTTGATTTCTGTAAAAGAAGAAAATATAACTAAGTATAAACAAAATGTATTATAATATTTAAATTTAGGATATAAAGACATTTCCGCATAAATTCTGCAACAATTGTTTTGTGTCTTACGTTGTGCCAAAATAAATTGTTGGCACTTTACCACAATCGCAGCAAATTTAAGGTTAATGAATAAGGTAAGATGGATGTTAGGTAGTACATAATACTGGCGGTTTTATTTTCCCATCTTTAATGAAACAGGTAGTTTTGTCGCTTACGTCCTTTTTGCCGTCACAAATAAAGATTTATAAAAAAACACAATTTTTTGCATTAACAATAACCATTTGATGTCGTTAACTCATTTGTTTTATGCTTGCTATTATTAAGAAAACAATCTTTCAACACAAATACATACGTTATTGATTAAAATACTATTTCGATGTAAAAACGAATGGCGATTTCGTTTGTCCCAAAAGAAAAACCGCGAAGTCTGTTCTGCCTTTTCCAAGTTGGACAAGGAAGCAAAGCGAATGGGTCTGGTGGTAAACGAGGACAAGACGAAGTATCTCTTGTCAACAAACAAACAGTCGGCACATTCGCGCCTTGGCACACCCACGTCACTGTTGACAGTTATAATTTCGAGAAAATAGAGAATTTCGTTTAGTTGGGAACCAACCGAAAATAAAGTCAGCATGGAAATCCAACGCAAACTCACTCTTGCCAACAAGTACTACTTTGGACTGAGTCGGCAATTCAGGAGTAAGAGGACTCGACGTACGAAAACCACACTCAGAACCATGGACAATGACAACATCCGATGAGGTGGCTCATGGAGTATTCGGGAGATAGATTTTGCGGGCCTTTACGCGTTGGCGACGGCGGATACCGCAGACGACGAAACGATGAGCTGTATGAGCTTTACAACGACATGGACATAGTGCAGTGAATTAAAATACAGCGGCTCCACTGGCTTGACCATGTCGTTCGAATGGACACTGACGCTCCAGCTCTGAAAGAATTCTGGCTTCACTTGGCATTTCCAATTGGCGTCACTTAGCACAGAAGGGAAACGACTGTCGTGCTTTGTTGAACTCGGCCAAAATCGCTTTGGCGGTTACAGCGCCTAATAAGAAGAAGAAGAGAATAGATCTATAATCTTATCAGTCGCACAGTGTTTTAATCCCGACGAAATTTTTGACGGTGGTGCCGGGAGGGGAACGGTACTTGACGGTAGGAAGTTTAGTAGCTTGGGTTAAAGTTAGGGGTTAGGCTTTCGATGCTTCCTCCTCGTAAATAGCTAACTATTTAAATCGACGAATAGTTTTATTTCAACTTTTGTGAACTTCTGTTTATGTGTTTTTGTACAACATATTTACCTCTATTGGTTACAATAATTTTAAGCTATAATAAACAATTTTTTATTAAGTAAGGTATTGGTTTTGAATTTTTTTTTATATGAGCCCCGCCCTAAATTTCGTTCTGGCAACGCCCATGGTGGAGTTATAACAAAAAATCGCATATCTGAAGAATCAGTTGTATGGGAGCTATATGTTATAGTGGTCCGATTCATGCGGTTAAGTATACATTTTAATGGGTCTATCTCTTCTTATTTTGGTACTTACAAATGAACTCATGAAAGGTATAATAATATGGAACATTCAAGGCGGAGGAGCGGACCTCCTTATATGTATTTATGTGTGTAAGTATGTATACATAAATACACACATACATATGTACAAATGTAAACTCCATGCATACCTTCAATTTTTCGTGGTC